TTTTTTTTTTTTTTTTTTTTTTTTTTTTTCCTCTCTCTATGTGCATGTGCAAGGATTATTGCATTATTCTTTTTTTCTTTTTTTTTGTATTCATCAAAGTTGCCACAAAATAGTCGATAATATTAACAGGGGGAAAAAAAAAAAAAAAAAGAAAAAATCTAGCAAAACAGTTGCACCAATTTTTGCTAAAGCAGTTAAACGAGTTCCTCAAAACATTAATAAATTTTTAACCACTTTCAAATAAAATTACGCATTGTTATAAGGCCCTTTCTTAAGTGTAGCACAATTCTGAATCCCCACTTAAGCATGCGCCCTACCAACATTAATCTTACCGAGGCGCTTTCCTAAAATGCAGAAAAGAAAATTTCTCCCCTCGTTCGCATGAATTGCAGTATAGTTGGTGTATTCCTTTTCTTTGCACAATTCTATTAACATCTTGTTATGTTAGCATTTTGGTATTTTCCCAAGTTGGAGGTTTCAGATCAAACATTAAGTGGAGACGCATGCCCCCTCTTTCGAGACTCCGTCGAAAAGTAGGCCACACACAAAGGAACAACAATATTCCCTTTTAATAGCCCAAATTAAACATATTTACGAATAAAAAGTTATGGCTACCAAATAGCCATTTTGCTTATCCACAATTCCGGGAAAAAAAAAAAAAAAATTATGACTGTTCATATTTTTTTAAAACAATTTTGAGTCAGTTTTATGCAAAATGTTTATTTTGCCTGAACGGTTCATAGAAAAAACAAATGTGCCCACTAAAAAGTAGTAGGCCAGTAAAATTAAAGCCCTGCATGGAAATGCAACGGGTGCGGAACCTATGTGTGGGTGATGTTACGGTGGACAATAATGGAACTCCATTTTGATTGCAACACCACTATGGTTAAATAATCAAAGGGCTGAAATTTTTTTGTTACACTTGCCCAGGCGTGTGCAGATGGAGACATGCACACGAAATTACACACCTCTACGTATGACCTATTACGTGTGTACATAAGTATAAATGTTTACATTCATTGGAGGACAAAATGCTCTTTGCAAAATTCAACTGTGTCCCTTCGTCGTGTTTATTTATATCCCCCTGTGGAAGGTGCACTGAGAAGGTTTGCACAACGAGGAACGCATTCTCAAGCTAAACAAAATGTCGAACAGAGAATACCTGATGATGTGCTATCCGCCTCCAACTAAACCTTCGTAAATGTGAAAAATGATGAAAAGGGAGTCCATTCTAACCAACACACAAGTGAAGAACGTAGATATGTTTTTACAATTTTTCCTAAACATCACACATAAAAATATAGTGCCACATGAATTCAAAAATGTAGCAAAAAAAAAACAAAAAAAAAATAATAAAGCTTTTTATGCTTGCGTCCGTCAAAGGCTACCAACAAGGCAAAGGAAAGCATAGAAAGCTTCATTTTTTTTTTTTTTTTCCTTTTTTGCAAATATGTGAACGGGTAATGCAACGGATATTGTGTCATATATATTTTTTTTCTCTTTTTTTTTTCCATTATGAGATTCCCCTGTGAGGGGCCCAACATTTAAACCAAAGCGTGAAGAATGAAACTTTGAGAAAAAATGAAAATGCAGCATTTTAAAAAACGTATGGCATGTAGTATGAAAAAAAAATTTGTGAGCAAATTCTCTTTTTCTTTCCCTCATATTGGAGGTACCAAGAAAACAAAGGGGGAAGGAAACCAAGGCAACTTCGAATAACACACAAGAAGGGTAAAAAAAAAAAATTTTCCAGTGAGAAGACTGATAAAGGAGAGCACGATAAAAGAGGCCAACCCTACCCATTTCAACTAACAAAAAGGATAAAATGTTCAAAACAATGAGGAATTATTTCATGCTAAATTTTAAAAGAAACTATCGACACTATTCAAGAAAGAAAAACATAAACAGCATAAACCGAAAAATAAACGACCCCTATAGTGACCTGTACAAAATGAACTATTACGGAAACAATTTCAAAAGACTTCCAAATAAAAAGACCAAATCGAATGAATACGAGCTCATCAGAACATCCAGCAACACCTTTACCTACTCATCCCCATACCCCCCAAACATTAACTACACCTTGAAACCGTATCCTGATTCGGCCAAGGATTTGTACTACGAAAACAGAAAATATGTGATGAAATACAAAAACGTAGAGTACATACCTATTAAGAGGATGGTGTGTAAGGGGACATCCAGACGAACCAACTGGGACACGTACTATGTGAGGGTTGAAAAGTGAAACGAAAAAAAGGAAAAGCTGTAACATTATCCTTGTATATATGCCTAGGTGTCTACATGAGTAGTGTAAATGTGCACGCAGCACAAATCCGGGGAAGGGAAAAAAAGTAGCCAACGCGCTACTAATAAAAATGGAGGCAGGTCATTGCGAATGCCTTGTGTTATGTGGTGGGGAAACGTAGCGACTCTTTTGTAAGGTTACTTCCATTGCGGCTTCCGCGGCCGTGGGTACATGTGTGCATACACCACAGCATACGCTTTACGCGGACGCCTCACACGTGATTTTTTTTTTTTTTTTTCTTATTCATGTGTTTATATTAACCTCCACTTCTTAAGTGGAAAAAAAAAAAAAAAAAT